TGCAGCGTGACCATCCCCCCTGGGGGGTGATTTCTCGCTTTCTGTCTCTCTGTCTCTGTCTGTCTGTCTGGCGAGTGCACGCGCCCTATAGCAAAAAAACTCTCAAAAAAAAAAGTTCATGGAAAATTGGTTTCTGTATGAATTTTGATGCATAATTTTTTAAATCCATGCATAGTTTTTTCACACATTTTCTATGTACTTTTGTTTTTTGTTTTGTTTTGTTTTAAATTGCCAGAAAGCACACATGTTGGACTGACAGAGACAGAGGGAGAAAGCGGCCCCCAGTGGGGTATGGTCATACCACAGTTTGATTTCTCTATCTTCTCATCTTTACAGGATTTTGTGCCTGATGTTCCTCAAGCCTCTGGGTCTGGAATTCAAACTGTGGTTGGCCATTTGGGATCCAGCTCTCTTAACCATAAGGCTTTGGTTGGGGTCAGCCCTCTCCATGAGTTTTTTTAAGATCCCTTTTATGATTTACCTGGTTCATTCTAAAAACACTCATTTCACAGATGTCATCAGCATTGCCATTAGGTTTGTATGAGTCATTGTTTGAATGTTTTAAGGAAGAACTTATTTCCTCTGCAGGAAACTATAGTCAACTTATTTTGGGACCCTTTAGTATCATTGTTGTATGTGTATTAAGTGCTTCATTGTTTTTGGTTCTTGACATTGTCTCTGCCTTTGTAAGCTTTATAATCTTTTTTTTTTCTTTCAATTATTTGGGGCTGGCAGGTGGCATGGTGGTTAAGGATGCTGGACTCCCACATGGTTGACCATAGTTCAAGTCCTGGCCTGGGGTTGCTTTCACACTTTCTCTCTCTCTCCCCCTTTCTTCCTCCCTCTCTGGTCAAATTTAAATAAATAAAGTTAAGTAAAAAATCTTTAAAGTAAAAGAATACTTGGGGCTGGCAGGTGGCATAGTGGTTAGGGCTGCTGGACTCCCACATGGTCGAACGTGGTTAGAGTCCCAGACCTAGTGACTTGCTTTCTTTCTTTCTCTCTCTCACTTTCTTTCTTTTTTTATTTTTTATTTTTTATCGTATTTATTTTTAATTTGACCAGAGGGGGAGAGAGAGAGAGAGAATGTGAGAAAGCAAGCCACCAGGTCCAGGACTCAAACCGTGCCTGCCCATGTGGGAGTGTTCAACACC